CAGTACAGGTGGGCATGGGTCAGTGCAGGTGGGCATGGGTCAGTGCAGGTGGGCACGGGTCAGTACAGGTGGGCATGGGTCAGTGCAGGTGGGCACGGGTCAGTGCAGGTGGGCACAGGTCAGTATAGGTGGGCACGGGTCAGTGCAGGTGGGCATGGGTCAGTGCAGGTGGGCACGGGTCAGTACTGGTGGGCATGGGTCAGTGCAGGTGGGCACGGGTCAGTGCAGGTGGGCGCAGGTGGATGTCGGTGGGCACACATGGGCACAGGCCAGTGCAGGTGTCCCAGGAGCGGGGCCTGAGCACCCTGCCCTCTTTCCAGGAACCTGTGCTGACTCGCAGGCGTCTGTCATTTTGGTAATTTCCAGTCCTCAGGTTGGAATAATCCAGGGCCTGTGCCCTTTGGGCTCAGAGTACCAGGAACCCTGGAGCCCCACGGCGAGGGGTCAGGTCCTGGCTCTGCCCTTTCTCACCGGTGCGCCTCTAGGCAAGTCCCTTGATGTCTCTGTGCCTGGGTGAGACAGGGCTGCGGATAGTACTGAGTACTGACTGCACTAAGCGTAGAGCACCAGCTGGTGGGGATAGCCCCCCATCCTCGGTAGGACCGCGGGAGCTGCCCGGGGCCCAGCGCCCATCTCCACACAGAAGCAGGAAGCAGGGAACACAGCAGTGTGCCCACAGAGGGCTGCGGCATCCAGGTGTTTAGCCCCAGCTTCTGTGTTCTGAGGGGAAAAGGAAAAGGAGAGGCCAGGGCAGGTGGGGGGAGGGGAAGTGGTGCCCTCCTCTCTTCTAGAAGCCTCAGGTCATCCTTGAGAGGTGCTGGCTGGGTGAGGGCAGCCGGCAGGCCACCAAGTGTCCCCTTGAGCCGCAATCCTTCTCCCCCTGAGCCTGGGGAGGGGGGAGTTGCTGAGGAGGGGCCGGACTCCAGCTGCAGATGGACAGTTGGACAAATCCACACTGTGCTGTCAGAAGGCGGCCCTCGGGAACCAGGGTGCAGGCTCGGGGCGGGGGCCGCCGCAGACCCAAAGCGCAGCGGTGTCCAGGCCGGGGGAGGTAGACTCGCGGGGCTAACACCCCGTCATCATCGCCACTCAGGAGCCTGGGACCTGGGGACCCGGGTTTGATACAGCCCAGACAGAAAAGTCCACAGACTACGTCCAATCAACCAACCAAAAGCCAAGTTGCTAGCATGGTTCAAGGGGTCGAGTGCAAGCAAATGCCCTGCGTTGGGGGGGGGGGGAGTAGGAGGAAGTATCCCAGGCAGAAGGCTGGACAGCGGGAAGGTGCTCGCTTGCCAAGGCGGGGCCTGTGGTGAGGGCGGGTGAGCCAGGCTCGGGTGTAGGCGCCAGCCCCCCCTGGGCCTGCCCGGGATCCTCCGCCCCGGGCCGCTGCCCCCTCCTCACCAGAGCCACCTCAACCGATGTGACTGCAGGGGGCAGCAGAGGGCGCCGCGGCGGAGGGACAGGTGGAGGGAATGGGGCGCGGGGTTCTTAGTGGTGACGGGGCCCTGGCTCTGGGGCAGGAACAGCACCTGCAGAGCCCCAGCCCCTGCTCCCAGTAAGCTGCATCTGTCTGCAGGGGGCGCGTTGCAAGCGTGCAGCCAAGCACGTGCTCTGACCCCGAGGCTGCGTCTCTGGGCAACTTGGTTGTGCCCTGAAGCCTCGGTCTCCTGGTCTGGGAGGTAGGAATCCAAGTGGGCAGGCAGCGTGGGACTTCGGTGCAAGGAAATGGACTAGGGGGCATGTGGCCTGTCTGCGGCACATAGCGGCACTTGGGAAGACTTGCTGGCGATTTCTT